ACAGGTGCTGGGATTAAACAGTCCTGTCTGGAATCACACACTCAAGGCTATGTGACCCTGAGCAGATCTCCAAACCTCTCTGAGCCTTAGTTAACTCAACTGTAAAATAAATATAAAACCTACCTCATTTTTTGCCACTACATCCCTCCTACCTCCCACTGCCTTGCAAGAGGGTGAAATAGGAGAGATTCCTTTCTCAGACTCAACCTTCTAGTCATTTGCCCTCTAAACCTCTCTCTTGCTTGTCTGTCAAACTTTTACTTCTTTTAGGCAAGGACAGATGCTTATATGTTGGCCATTTTTTTTCCCTCTATGCTATGGCTTAGTGTAGAAAAATATCTCCTTGTGTCCTTATTATCATGAGACAATAAGCTTCATTATCACTGGGCCTTGTTTTAATGGAGGAAGGGCTGTAGTGAAAAAGAAAAAAGAATTAACTGAAGATAGAAAATGCATCAGGCTATATCCCCTAGAGGGGCTGTTATCAGCCTAAGGCTTTCTGCTGAGGTCCAGGAACCAGAGCATGTTCACACTGCTTCCTTCCTTCCTTTCCTCCTTCCTTCCTTCCTTCCTTCCTTCCTCCCTTCCTTCCTTCCTTCCTTCCTTCCTTCCTTCCTTCCTTCCTTCCTTCCTTCCTTCCATTTCCCTTGCTCCATTTCTTTTGTCAGTTATTTCAATTCTATCTTTGTTAGAACCTGCCCAAGAATAAGTGAGCATATTGTGAAGCTTGCAATTAAGTATTTAAAAGAGCAATTTGTGTGTCAGCAGCATGTTTCCATATTCTGGGAAAGACCTTTGAAGGGTTTCCAGGGAAAGTGAATCTGTGTTTACTGACAGTCCACATGCAATTTGGGTCTCTCACCTCTGACCCGTCCTGCTTGGTTTTGCAATAAGAAGCCAGAGTGCAAAGCAAGAGTTCAAAACTAGGAGGAGTGCCCTGGCCAGTTTGGTACTGTGGCTAGAGCGTGGGCCCGTGGACTGAAGGATCTCAGATTCAATTCCCGGTCAAGGGCACCCATACCTCGTCCCCGGCTTGGTCAGGGCACCGGTGGGAGGCAACCAATATGTCTCTCCTCCTCCTCCTCCTCCTCCTCCTCCTCCTCCTCCTCCGCCTCCTCCTCGTTCTCCTCGGGGGTCTTCCTGCTGGTGGTGTGCGGCGTGAGGGATTTACGTCCACTCGGCCTAGAAGGAATGGGGAAAATTTCCTCACTCCGGGGGGAGGAATTAGAAACAGAAAAACAACTAGTAGGAGTAGAAAATACTAACCCAGGTGGGGAAAATAGTCTAAGAAACCTGCAGGAACCTCCATTTAAACAACAACAACAACAACAAAAAACTTTAGGAGTTTCAATTCACACTTGTCTTATTTCCCCCCGCCCCCCCCCCCCCCGCCGCCCCTTTTAAGAACAGATACATGTTGAAGTCTAAGGTGTCTGCAATCTCATTATATTTACCAGAATGAGTGTGGCCAGGGCAGGAAAATAAAATACTTTATTTCAATGTTACTGGCATGTTTGGCAATCTGGGAGTTTCATAAATCCATTAGTCTTTTCAACGTTACCAATTTACAGTCACATTTTCTTTCTTTTTTCTTTTTTCCTCCCTCAAAGAAAGGTACACAAAGGATTTTACTTAGTCCATGAACTAAGACTTGTATAGAATTATTAAGGCCCTTAAAAATAGGAACCATTCACAAAGATGCATAAAGCAATCACGTGGAAGTTATCCAAATTAAAAGAACTCTGAAGTTAACACCAATCTATGACATTTTTCTAGGCATTCATTACATAGCTAAACAAATGTGTTTTCTTAAAAGTCTTTCTCTCTGTATATATACACAGTAACACCAAAAACAATGAGAACAGGTGTCGGAGCACGCAGCAGGAGCCCTGGTGCTCTGAGTATGTCCGATTTGTTCTGAGTCCTTGTATTCCCCTAAATTCTCCTATCTGACTACGCCAGGGCTGGTTCCTGCTTGACCCCCGCCCTCTATACTAACGGTTGGGAACTTAGTCCAAGTTCCTCCTTTATCCTCTGCTCACTAGTAACAGGTGTTGGGTCCGAGCCCCTCTGCCTGGGGCTGGACCTCCTAGGATGCTGTGTCTTAGGCGGAGAAGCCACGAGAGGTTGTGGGTTTATAAGAATGAGTCTTTATTGCTGAAGCCAGTGGCCATATAGCCATTAGACAAGAACATCCTTTACAGCAAAGTTCATACAGGCAGACATCTGGACACCGACTGGTGAACATATATCTTTCCCATAAAGCAGCATTAGTCTCTGTACCCACAGCTATTATCTGAGCAGCCACATGCTGCCTCCTAGACTCACCGCCTCACATGGTAGCAGTAGCTGAGCTCTCTGGCTCAGCAGCTTCTCCTATCTCTCCTGCCCAGCTGCTCTCTCTAGCAGACTTCTTCACACACTCCATCCTAGCTGCTCTCTCTCCATACTCCAGCAGACTTTTCACTCCATCCTCAGCCAACTAACTTGGTCAGTAACTTACTTTTATTTTATACCATTTAGACAAAGAAGGCTTCATGCCAACAGTGGCATCAATAATATTGGCTACTGAAGGGCACAGTGTACCGTGTGTCCTTGTACCCGCTCATGGTATCTTGGCATGATTAGGATTTCCAGGCTCAGAGTCCTTGAACATTCCGTTAGGGCACATGCCCAGAGCAGCCTTTGGTCATTCTGGTGTATTGATAACAAGGTCTTTGTGCTCCCACCAGCCTTGACTATCCAGGGACCTGGCATGGTTCCCACAACATGGAAATCTAAATAAGTAGCTAAAATACAGAAATAATCCATTGCCATTCAAATAAAAATATTGCCTTTTTAAAAATATGAGGGAAAGGTAGTAAATTCAAATAAAATTGGCTGTGGCTGAGATTAGGGGCCACAAAAATAAGTGGGTTTGTGACCATAATTGTACAATGTTGCAAACTGGTGAGACAACTTTAAACTATATACTATTTCAGGGCCAGGCTGTCTTAGGAAACTTAACTAACCAGAAAATAACACCTTGCTAAGTGTAAAGCCTGAAACTGTCCAATAATCCCAGCTATTCAAAGGAAGGCTGTTTACTCACCTGTCCCTTTGAGAAAGGAGCTCCGATGACCCCTATGGATTTTGTCTTAGAACTCATGCTCTGATGTTCCTGGTCACTGCACCCGAGGTCTCCAGCCAGTCACAACGTCTGCAACCCTCAATGACAGGAGACACATATTTTTTCCACTTATAATTGGGCTGAATCTGTTTATCTTATTCTAATAAGGAAGATTGGCTCCACCTACTGAACCAAACAGGACAGTCCACTGGAAGTCCAGCAAGTTCTTCCTGGGTGGAAGAACTTGGGTTTGTAATTCAGGGAGATTATTCATGTCCCCAATTCACAGCCATTTGACAAGTCATCTGGGTTAATCCCTTGTCTAATCACCATCTTTATTTCCTAATCGTAATACTCTCTCTAATCTAATGAAGTCATCATTTTCACATAAACGGTGCCATGGTTTCAGCTGTACTAACTCAGGGAAGGGCACTTACTTCCTCCAGGGCTTCGAGTCCTTCCGTGTCAAAGAAGGGCTGGGACTGACAGGATGATCTCCTCACAACCCTTCAAGCCCTACAATCCTGAGTTCAAGTTTCACACACTGGGATTAATGGTTAATCAGTGAGACACATCCTACACCACAAGGGAAAGCATATGACTTCCTTTTCTGCTTATTATTAAAGGAAATCTTAATTGCCTCATTAATAACTCGGAGGTGTTGCCATACTGATTTTTAAATATGGTGTGTTTATACTAATAAAAGGGTAATATGCTAACTAGCCCAGGTCGACTGGACATCTTCCAGACGTCCAACTTCCTTCCAGACAAAGCCACGGTGGTGGGGACTGAGGCAGAGGCAGTTAGGGGCGATCAGGCCGGCAGGGGAGCAAGCAGTTAGGGGGCGATTAGGCCGGGGGGGAGCAAGCAGTTACAGGGCAAGATCAGGCTGGCTGGGGAGGGCAGTTGGGGGCGATTAGGCCAGCAGGGGAGGGCAGTTAGGTGGCGATCAGGCCGGCAGGCAGAGTGGTTAGGTGCGATCAGGCAGGAGACTGGTTAGGAGCCAGCGGTCCCGGATTGTGAGAGGGATGTCCAACTGCAGGCAGCTGGACATCCCCTGAGGGGTCCCAGATTGGAGAGGGTTCAGGTCGGGCTGAGGGACACCCCCCGCCATACACAAATTTCGTGCACTGGTCCTCTAGTAGGAAAATAACAGTCTTTGGAATCATAATCAAGACATAGAAGTAGCCCTAACCGGTTTGGCTCAGTGGATAGAGCGTCGGCCTGCAGACTGAAAGGTCCCAGGTTCGATTCCGGCCAAGGGCATGTGCCTTGGTTGCGGGCACATCCCCAGTGGGAGGTGTGCAGGAGGCAGCTGATTGATGTTTCTCTCTCATCGATGTTTCTGACTCTCTATCCTTCTCCTTTCCTCTCTGTGAAAAATCAATAAAATATATTTGAAAAAAAAAAAAAAGACATAGAAGTAAAAACAGCCAACAATGAGTTTTTATCATGTGCCAGATGCTGTTCTGTTTTATATTATCTCATTTAATCCTTGTACCAACATTATGTCAAGTCTCATCTTTTTTTTTAAAGTTTCTGATTTTAATATTAGTCTGACATAGCATTAGTAACCATACTGCACTGAAACATTAATGGTACAATCTGATTCATGATTTGTTAAATATTATACCCCAGACCCCCAGAATATTTAAAATGGTCATAAAGTTAACATTGTGTAAGTAAGTATATAAGCATAAACAGTTATGGACAGCCTCTTGTATAAATTGCTGTTTAGCAATACACAAACTGCCCAAAGATTTATGCTTACAAGGTAGACGTTCAATTATACCAATAAAACAGCATGTCCTGAAAATATGGGCACATTTTAAGACAATTTTGTTAACCATTAATAGTCCCACAGTATGGCTGAGTAATAATAAGAACCTACTTTAAAAGCAAAAAATTTTAATCAGTATAGTGCATGATTGATTCAACATAGTTCCCAGGGAACAGACCAGTCACTCGATTGTAGACTCCTTCATACCAGCCATCATCATTCTTCTTTATTACATAAACTAGAAGCCTGTTGCACGAAGATTCACGCAATAGGTCTTCCTTCCCCTGGCTGCTGGCACCGGTTTTCCTCTGGCACCCGGGACCCAGGCCTTTGGTCCAGCCACAGCGGAGAAACCAAGCCTCTTCAATCTTCAGTCTTCACTCCGGCCAGAGCCTTCAGTCTTCACTCCATGCCTGTGTATGCAAATTAACCACCATCTTTGTTGGGTTAATTTGCATAGTCGCTCTGATTGGCTGGTGGGCATAGTGGAGTGACACCAATTTGCATTAGTGTAGATGATTGCACCCTCATAAATGACAGCTCATCATCCTTGTCTTTTGTATAATCATATATTGCCACAACTTTCTCAATATAATTTTTAGGGGCCCACGCAGGATCCCCATCTGCATATGGGTCATTATAATGAACTAGTGCAGCCTCCTCATCTTTATAATCTACTGGAGGTGGTGGTGGCGGAGGTGGAGAGTCATCAAACATGGGAATGTTATCTGGTGGAAGTGGTGGTGGAGGAGTTTGACTATCAGCAATTGAATTCTGAGAATAAAGTGGACCTCCATTACCAGGGGGCTGAGCAGAAAATTGAGCAGTCACAGAGGGAGTTCGTCTGTATCCACCAAAAGATGTCAAGGAAGTGGTAGAGTTGTGTCAAGAAATCTGCCTGGTCATTGTGCCACACTGGGAACCAGGAGCTGAGCCTGGGGCTGCTGATCCAATAGTGGGTGGTGAAGGTGTAGGCATGGCAATGGGAATGCCAATACTGCTGCTTCCACTGTTTTCTCGACTTCCACTTCCCTCACTACTTCCACTGCGTGTCCTCGGTCTCTGAGTTAAAGAAGCTGTCCTGCCTGGGCTATGCTGACTTCCAAGCCTAGCAGGACTGGTCATATAGTCATTAGGAACTGTTGGAGGTTTAACAGGTTCCAGGGTTTTGTAAGGCCTATTCCGTCCCATCGTTCCCCGGGCTGACGTGGGAGGACTTGGTGGTTTCTGAGTAGGAGAATTTAGGTTATTTCCATGCTTGACACCATGGCCCACATCATCCAGAACTGTATAGTCAATACGTTTCTGAATATGCCTTACAGGGTGCTCCATATTTGCAGGTGCTATTATTTTGTGAGTTCTTGATGTTTTCTTATTTGTTGTCAAAATACCAATCTCCCTTTGAGCCACTTTCTCTTTATGAATGTCTACCGTCTGTGAGATATGATTGATGGAGGACTCCATTCTCCGAAGCTGAGAGGCTTGGGTGTCCAGCAATTGGAGTACATTGTTGGCCAGTGCATTTATTTGATAAGCAACACTAGCTAGGGATTGGGTTGTATAGGCTTTGGTCTCTTCTAAAGCTTTTCTCTTGTCTGTAGCCTGTATGTAGGTGTTCTCACAGTAGTCCGCCACCCGGGTCAGGTTCTGGTAACTCTCTGTAAGTGCCCTCTTGCCAGACGGGATTTCCTCCTTCAGTAACATCTGCAACTTTGCCATTTTCCACTCCTCCACAGGCTGCAAGGTCAGCGGAGACTCCCACCACCTCGCAGCCCGGATACAAATCACTTACCTGCCCGCCCCCCCCCCCCCGCCCCCTCAAGTCTCATCTTTGATGCCATTTTATTGATGAGGAAACTGAAGCCCAGAGAGGTTGCCAACTGCCACTCAGGTTGTAGAGCAAGAGCCATGATACACTGTTAAGCATTGTGGATCCACCTAACCTCTGCGCTTTACAATGAAGCACAAGCCAAGTGTCAGATCCTCGTGCCTGCCAGATCTGTGAGGGGAGTTCTTTATCGCCATGAAAATACGGATTTAGGAGAAATGCACCCTATGAATCCTTCCAACTTGAAAATGACATGATTATAATTTAGAGGGGAAATTCACTTAGTAGAAACGAATTTCTTTTTTTTTTTCTATTGGTCAGAGAGAACATTGGGGAGTATTTAAATTCCAGGAGGACAGAGTTTTGTCTGTTGTATTCCCAGAACCTAGAACAATGCTGATATGTGATAGGCACTCAATAAATATTTGTAGAATGTGTGAACAAGAAAACCAATGTTTCACAGGTCCAGTTTAATAGGACTATTTTCCAAACAGACTTCCTGTCTTTCACTTGTAGACTCACTTGCATTACTAGATAGTTACTTGTATGTAGTATATTGTGTAGTATATTGTAGTATATGTATTTTGTATTGCTAGATACTAACTTATGGGAGGGATTTGCAACCTTTTTTATTTCATGGCACACATAAACTAATTAGTAAAATGTTGCACATCAAAAAATATGTTTTTTTCCAATCTGACAAAAAAAATAGCTATAATTTTGATTCATTCATACCAGACATGTATTGTTGTGCTGGCTGTTGTCATTTTTTTATTTGACAATCTAAGGAAAAATAGGTTAGTGCCCCTGACTAAGTAGTCAGGTATTGCATGTTTTAAAATTTTTTTGCGGCACACTGGTTGAAAATTGCTGTCTTATGGTGCTGATGTTGCAAAAAACTTTCCCAAGTGTCAGTAATCTGATAACTTTGTATATGTTATCACCCTAAATCCTTAACTTTTAAATAGGCAACTGAATAATTTTCCCCTCATGTTTTGTGTTCTGGAAATTTTGAATAAGTCCTCCCTACTCCAAAATCACAAATACAGGTTTCTATATTTTCTTCTATTTGCTTTAGAGTTTATCTTTCACATTTACGTCTTTAATCCATCTGCATACATCTTGGTATACTGTGAAAGTTCCCCAACTATACTTTTTCCTGTGTAGTCCCCTTATCAATTTCCTAAATGAAACTCATTGAACAGTTCATCCATTTTCTGTTATTGATTCCAGTGGTATCTTCATCATATACCAAGTTCTCCTAAATACACAAATCTGTCACTGAACACCTTCTTCAATTCCATTGGCTTATTTACCTGTTGATGCACCAATTCCACACTGGTTTATTATCATGATTTTATGTATGTCTTATTATTCTTTGACAAGACTAACATTTTTGGTCTTCTTTTTTAAAAATCGATTTAGTTATTCATGGGCCTCTATTCTAGAATAAGTTGTCAGATTTTTAAAAATCCTGCTAGAATTTTTACTAAATGTATAGAATTTTTACTAAATGTATAGATTAATCAATAGATGTTTGCTATCTTGCACATTTCATTGTCTGTATTTTATTTTATTTTTTAAAATATTTTTATTGATTTCAGAGAGCAAGGGAGAGGGAGAATGAGATAGAAACATCAATACATCAACGATGAGAGAGAATCATTGATCAGCTGCCTCCTGCTCGATCTCCGAGCCCGCAACCCAGGCATGTACCCTGACCAGGAATCAAACCTGGTTCATAAGTCGAGTCTCATCGCCTGCATTTTAAAAACTCTAGCATCTGAAAGTTCCTCTTATATCAAGCTGAGATTGCCTTCCTGTTATTTGATCCATTGACGACAACCCTTCAATCCAAGTAAAACATGCTGTCTCAGATTTCTTGGGTCCTCTATTGTTTAGCTTGAATATCCCCAGACACCTCATCAGTTTCTTGTATTACATGATTGATACTTTCCTTCAGGTTACCAACTCAATCACTCTCTTCGAAACATTTTCTGGTTTCCCTATGCCCTGTGTGTCCCATCCAGAATTAAGTGCATATGTCCAGGTGTAGAAGAAGTCATCTGGCCCATCAAAGACAAATTTGGTAATGCCTGACTCTTTCGGGTCACTGATAAAAAGTGAACAGGTCAACACTTATGTAATAGCTCCTTGGCATTCCACTGGATACCTCAATCCAGATTGGCATAAACCCATTAATTAATCATCACCCTAGCCGGATTGGATCAGTGGAAGAGCCTCAGCCTGTGGACCAAAGGGTCCCAGGTTCGTTCCGGTCAAGGGCACTGTACCTCAGTTGCAGGCTCCTCCCTGGCCCAGACTCTCGTTGGGGCGTGTGCAGGAGGCAACCAATAATTGTGCTTCTCTCACATCGATATTTCTCTTTGTCTTTCCCTCTCTTTTCCACTCTCTGAAAATCAATGGAAAAATATCCTTGGGTGAGGATTAAAAAAAATTTTAATCATCAGTCCATAGATACGGTTGTTCACTCTGTTCCCAAGTCAACCACTCCATCTTGTCCATAAGGACATCATAAGGAAAATTACCAGGTGTGTCAATAAATTACTGCTACACTTTGTCTGCTACCTTTTGTCAACTACCAGTTTGACTTTCCTGTCAAAGATGATGAGTTGATCCTGTTCTTATTAAAGGTGATGACAGAACCTGTTCTTAGTAAATTCTTGCTGACTTCTAGGGATCCCTACTTCTTTTTTGTTATAAACATAAACCCTTTTCAATCTCCAAAGCTGTCATTTCAGGACTCCCAAAGTAAGAAGAGATCACCTTACTTATGTCATTCTATCACAGCTCAATCTTTTTATTTATTTTAGAGTATATATATTGAGTTTTAAAAACCCTTATTTTAACAATAAAAAATTCTTAACCAATCTCTCTTTCTCTCTTTCCTCCCTACCCCCCTATCTGGCATTTCCTGAGGATGGAACCACATCTTATTTAACTGAGATCCAAAGCCACTAGAATAAGAATTGGCACATAGGACCTTATATCAGTTTCCTAGGGCTACCATAATAGAATACCACAAACTGGATAATGTATAAGAGCAGAAATCATATTTCTGGAGGCTAGAAGTCTGAAACCAAAGTGTTGCAGAGCCCTGCTTCTTAAACATACAGGGAAATTCTTCCTTGCATTTTCCTAGCTTCTGGTGGTGTCTCTGCCTTATAAAGGCATCACTCTAATCCTCTGTCTTCACATGACTTTCTCCTTGTGTTTCTGTGTTTACATGCCATCTTCTTATAAGGACACAAGTCATATTAGGTTAAGGGCGCATTTACTCTGTGTGACCTCATCTTAACCAATATATCTGCAATGACACTATTTCCACATAGGGCCACATCTGAGGCACTGGAGATTAGGACTTTAATGTATCTTTTGGGGGAACATAATATAACTGCCAACAGCCCTCAATGAAGGTTTTTGCAATAATAAAGAATGAATAATACCTTGTATAATGAGAGGAACAAAAAAAAATGACATAGCTCTTACTCTCTACCTCTTTCTAAGGCTCCAACCCTTGGCCTTTTTCTTTTCTTTTTTTATCAGCCAGCTAACATGCAAGAAGCCCAGGATTCTTAGCACTTTTACAGAGGACTGGAAAATACTCAAAATCCGAATGACTAAATCTTTAATGACGTGCTTCCAGGGAACCATTTCGTTTGGTGCACCGGCAAGACTCTTTAAACCCAATACAGTAACGATGGGCCTGCTCCTGGGACACCTGAGTTTATGAAAATGTTCAAACTGAGTGATCCCTGGCAAGTGACCTAGTTATGTCTCTGGGTAGAAGCTCTCCTAACCCTGTGAGGCATGCTAGAAGCCTAAGCAGAGAGGGTGGTTCCCTCTGAGTGTCTGACTCATGTCACCTCATGACTATATCTTATAGCCTCCTTCTCTTTCTTTGCCTTCCTCTCTCTTTACCCAGCCAAACTCCTGGGAGTGTGGAGCCTATAGAAAACAAAATGTGGCCTGGCCGATGTGACTCAGTGGTTGAACGTGGACCTATGAACCAGGAGGTCACAGTTCGATTCCCGGTCAGGGCACATGCCCGGATTGCAGGCTTCATCTCCAGTGGGGGGTATGCAGGAGGCAGCCGATCAATGATTCTCTCTCATCATTGATGTTTCTATCTCTCTCTCCCTCTCCCTTCTTCTCTGAAATCAATAAACATATATTAAAAAACAAAAAAAGGAAACAAAATGTGGATGAGCAATGTCCCTGATCTCTGTATGAGCATAGGGAGCTCGAGGAGCACTGTGCCAGGTGACAGAGAGTAACTCAAAATGGGGAGCTCCACCACTTTGGTGCATTGAGGTCTCTAGAGATATAATGCTCAATGGGTCCCCGAACTGCAGGCTTGTTGGGGGAAGATATTTACATCTTTTGGAAGTTACAGACTCCCAAAGACAGTCAATAGGGAAAAAGAGGAAGGAATAGGTCACAAGAAAATAAAATCACTAAGATCATGAGTATATATGGTGACCACTGGGTGCCACCTAGAAATAGTGTGGGACTTAATGTCCTGAACAAAGATTGGAACCCAAGAACTACTGTGCATGCCCGTTGGGATCTAGATTTACTCAAAGGCATATGCGGCCTGGCACATAAGTGACGGTCATATGAAATAACTGTAGCCTCTGAGGCAAAGCGGCTTACACACATCACACAGCTAATTGACCCTGAAACTGAGACTGAAATGCACATTTCTCGGGTCCCTCTAACGCTATTCCCACTTCATGGCACCCCTCTTCACCTGCAAGACGCCGTCATTCTTGTACATGAGACAGTCAACCTTTAGCTTATGAAAAACAAGAGGGATATTCCGAATCTTTCAGAAATGTAAACTGGTAAGTGATGAGTGCACCCTACA